TTTTCTAGGGATATTAAAAACAGAAAACCAGAGAAATAAATTGTAGTGCACATCTTAGAATTACTGAATTACTGAGGACAATAAAGACAGTTTCAAACATGTAGATCTAATATAATTAACTGACCTATTTTACGATATATCACTGAAAGAAAGCGAGTCTTAATGTCCAACAACTTAGTGAGACATGTAGGCAGGTGTTCAGATATGTGCAAGAAGGAAAAGGTTGTGTCTGTTTCTTACTCCCAGGTGCTTAGCACTGAAAAAATGATCTAGAACCTTCCCTTACTAAAATGTTTCCAGCGTTGGGGATAAAATCCAGGGGCTCGCCCATGCTAGGCAAGTGCCCTATCACTTGGATCTACTTCCCAGATCTTCCCTCATTAATTCTGTTAAACATCATAATCAGGTTCCCTTGCATTTATGAAGAAGGAAGACAGGTATGGCTGAACACCAGCCCAATAGTGCTGTAAGAGTATTCGTCAACAGAAAATGAGAGACATGAGAAGCACGCTGCGACTTCAGCTCAGAAGAAATGGGTACAATTATTTGTCAGTTTCTAGTGTTCATTTTGGCCCTACTATGTTCTGCCTGAGACAAGCAGATAAAAGGCCAAATGTATTACAGAAGGTTACGTCAAATTCCCAACTGGACTGGTTTAAATATCTCATCAATTTCAAAAGAGAAGTTATTTGCCTATAATAGTACTGCTTTTTACTTGGAGAACTTATGACTTTTAGCAATTTTTCTAGGTTTTTCACTTAAATATATATTAGTCAAATGAACATTAAAAAAAAGCAACATTCCAGATCCCGAGCTACTGACCATAGGAAACCCCCTCCTTCCCCCCCTCCACCCCCTCTCCCTCCGCCAAGTCCATTTACATTTTACATGAGCGTGACATTCCCTCACACCACGGGGCACACGTATTACTTATGAATGTCCTTCTAAAATAGTATTCTAGTTCTTAATCTGTATCTTCTCTCTGTAACTGTACCGTGTTCTCAGCCAGTGGCCAGGCTGAAGGTGTAGGTCCTTCCCGTGTTCTGCCCACATTCGAGCCAGCGCTGCAGGCTTCCCATCACTCCTGGCACAGATGGGAGAAGACAAAGATCAGCTACAACATACTCTTCCTCCCACCAAGTCATTTCTGGTAGAGGAGCCCATAAACTCTCAGGAGCTGAAGAGGAAGTCGGAATCCAGAGGTGTTGGGAAAGGAGCCATGGGAGCTGGGCAAACACTCTGGGCACTCAGTATAACCTTGAGCAGGCCACAGACCGTGTCAGCCATAGTCTTGGGTAAAGTGAAGTCAGACCTTCAAATGTTGGGTGAAGTCTGATCACACCTTCAATCTTAGTGAAGTCTGATCACACCTTCAATCTTAGTGAAGTCTGATCACACCTTCAGGACTGGGCACAGCTGGACGCTGTGGTGTGGAGAAGTGTGGAGGTGGCCAGGGCCACTCACAGCATGGGCAGACGTGGCTTTCCACACCATCACCCTCAGATCGAGCACGTGGTGAGGACAGGCACCAGCCCTGGCGCACCAGCTTCAAGTGACAAGATGGAAGGGAGCTCGAAAGGAAAGCAGCAACTACAGCCTGAGGTGAGTGACGGGAATAAGTTAAAGGGAAAGAAACTCTCTGTGCCACCATAGTAGTGAAATATCTTATTCTTTATTTGAGGACATCTTGAATCTTTGTCTATATGTGACAGCGTCTCATGCTCAGTTCTGGCTGGCCTCAGTGAGAGGAAGCTCATGCAGGTTAACGTGTGGTATATACATAAATATACATACAGAGAACACTGAAGATTGTATCTTAGCAACAAGTTTCTTGGCTGAATAACATTCATATAAAGTATCCAAATTCTAAAATCAAATTAAAAGCAGGTAACCCAAAGCCTAGAGCAGCAAACAGCTTCAGAGGTTTACTCCACGGACATTCCACAGACTGTGCTTCTAAACGTTTGTGTTTCCATTCAGAACGGCCCCTGGGTCCCTAGCACACCATAAGCCCATGCTGTGGCCACAGCAAGTGTTCCTGGGGTCTTACCCCGGACAGCAAGCAGGAAGTACAGCTGCACGAACAGGATCTTCTGGAGGTGAGCAACTGGACACGCTGGCCGGACTGGGTCAGACCCATCCATCTCTATCCACCCGGCCCTGCAGGGTAGGAATTCCCTGTTTCCTCTCCCAGGCACCATGTGAGCCCCGGACCCAGTGTGGACAGCCAGACGGCCAGAGCAGAGCAGCCACCACACAACAGCACGAGACAAGGACTCACAGCTGCACACCCTAAACGTTTACGGGCCTTCTGCCCTTTCCACGTGTAGAGTTTGGGATTGGTGCAAAAGAAGTTCCAGAATTTCACAGAACTTGAGGGGGGGGGGAGAGGAGGCAAACTCAAACTCATCACATGTCTCTTGCTAGATCAGTCACAACTGGGCACAGCTGGAAACTATGGTGTGCAGTGTGGAAGTGGCCAGGGCCACTCCCAGCATGGACAGACGTGGCTTTCCACACCACTGCCCTCAGATCGTGCACGTGGTGAGGACAGGCACCAGCCCTGGCGCACCAGCATCAACTGACAAGATGGAAGGGAGCTCGAAGGAAAGCAGCAACTACAGCCTGAGGTGAGTATGTCGAACAAAATGCATTCCAGAGACAGCGAGGCCTTATGAGATGATGCTCACACACTTGAAAACAAAACTGACTGCAATGACAAGACCTTCCCACGCAGGGAAAGATGGACTTGGAATGAAAACCAGTTCTTTGGTGTCCCTCGCTGGAAGGTGAACCTCCTGACCCCTGGACAGGTGATGAGGGCTCTGGACACAACGCCTACCCAGCCCTGCCCAGGGCTTTGATCCAACTGCAACAGCCCTGGCTAAGCACACCTGTCCCGTCACCCAACCTGAGACCTGAGACTCCCTGCAGGGACGCTGCCCCCCCCCCCCATGCGACCGTGGTGCAGTTGTGCCTGGGTGTCGGTGCGATTAGTACATCAGGTCCCAGCGCAGCTCCCCTGCACAGGCCGGGCTGCGTGGCAGCGCCAGGAGCCGCCTTCCTTCCTGATGAGCCTGAGGAAGCAGTCCTTTGACCCTAGCTGCCTCCCCCTCCTCCTCTCACGCGCCGAGCCAGCCCCGCAGGACGGCCCTCCCCTCCCCCAGCCCCTCGCTGCGAGGCAATTGTGTTCATTACAGCTACCATCTGACTGCAGAGAGTAAAGCCAGACAACTGGGTGGGGTTTTTGTTTTGTTTTTAATGTATATGGGGTATATTTTTGCTGGACTCTATAACCCAAATCCACATATTCTTTCAAAACTAAGTCCACCTCCCAATCTCAACTAGAAAAAGTACCCTTTAGAGACAGGAGTAACAATGCAGACTTGTCTGGGTTATTTCTGGGCCTTAGGAGTCTGCCTGGGAGGGCTCCACTGCCTGACCTCTCCCTCCAGGACACCCAGCTCTCCGACCCTGCCAGGAGGTGAAGGGGTTGGTTCTGAACACATCCCGGGGATCCCCGTGTGGCCTCAGCTCCCTGGCAGAGCTCCCGACTCAGAAGGCACACAGGCCCCGCGGTGACGGCCGGAGCGTGCCCGGCAGACAGCATCTGCTCCACAGCTGCCTGGTTTTTCTAAGCCCACGAAGGGCACCAAACCCGGTGTGCCACTCAGCACCACACACGGGCAGCACAGGCCAGGGCGGGTCTGCACCTGTCTCTGCCCACAGTCCCCGGGCTGCGCGGAGCACACAGGCGGCCAGCCTTCCCTCCGCGCTCCCTAACCCTGAGTGGAAGCTACAAGGCACCATGCACCTGCCTGAGCTCGCTGCCCGCCTGCCGCCGCCCTGCCGGTCGCCCTGCACGCCAGCGGGGCTGAACAGCAGGTCCCGCGCCCCAGGAGGCCGCCGCCCTGCCGGTCGCCCTGCACGCCAGCGGGGCTGAACAGCAGGTCCCGCGCCCCAGGAGGCCGCCGCCCTGTCTGCTCGCAGTGTGTCACCAGCTTCCTTCTGAATGCTTTTTAAAAAATGTCTTTGATAACTCTATAAAGAATAACTTAAAAATATGCCTTCCATGGTATGCTCAAAAAATGAGAATCTACTTAAATACTTCTCTTTCTGTCCTGTGAAGGCCTCGTTCCTGCCACAGATCCTGAGGAAGGTGCAGGGAGGGAGAGACAGCTCTGTGCAGCAGCCCTGCCCGGTCACCACTGTCCACAGAAGCCGAACACCGTTAAAAGCCCGAACAGAAGGCCAGTACAGGTCTCTGCATGTGTTTAGTGTTGGGTTTAGAAGTAAACTGAGAAAAGATTTCCATGATATGACCCAAACTAGGCACACAGAAGCTTCTAGAAGCAGCTGAGATGGCAGGTCCTGCGTTAGGAGTCTGCAGGACACAAAGTCACTGCTATAGGTCGGGCCGGGTCATTGTGCACACAGCCCGCACTGCGCGGGCTGGGGACAGTCCGCACGGGCCTGTGTGGCCTCCTGACTGTGGACACGCAGGGTGGAGGGCTGTGCACGGACACGCGTGAGTCATTCTCTTCCGGTTCCACTTCTACTCTACGCTCCCACCTCCTCCACGTATAAATGCATTTGCAATTAAAGTATGCAACCTGACATATTACTTCTTATTTTATAAACTCATTCCTAGCTCTGAATAAATTAGTCAAGAATTTCACACAAAGTAATTTCTATTTTCCTAAACTTAAGGAAGCCCTACGCAGTAGAACTCAATTTCTAACGTAAACTGAGATAGAAAGCAGTCACTGGACAGCTCAAGGGGAGGAAGTGTGGGGCAGGGGGCAGCCGGGGGCGGTGTGGACCCACGGCCCCTTGCGCCCCACTGCACACCTACCCCGGTTCACATGTGAGATGCCTGGCACCCCACAATTCCCCACGCCAGCCTGGCTGGGCGTGGAGAGCTGGGGACGAAGCTGGGTGCCCGGCGGTCCCAGGCCCCCGACACCCTCCCCGAGCGGTGTGCCCTCTGCGGTGAGCTCCTGTGGGGCTCTGGGGAGCATGCCCGGTGCTGCAGTCCCCTGTGCCCGCCCTGTACTCTGCGCCTGCCCTGCTCAGGGTGTGAGAGAGAACTGGTCCTGTTCCGTGGGCTTCTCCACCCAGGCGCCCAGCCCCGCTTTGATGAAGGCCGTAAGCAAGCGTGCTTTGGCAGCCTGGTACTCCTTTGCCGCCAGCTTTGACTCGTGGTAGGTGGTGGGCTTCAGGATCTTGGTGCGGAGCAAGTATGGGGGGACCTGCAGGAGAAGCAGAGTGCGCATCAGTGGGCGCCTGCAGTGCCCACAGTGTAAACAACCTCGGCCGGCGTCTAAGGGGAGGCGGGGATGGCGCCCGGGCAGGCGCTGCCCCAAGCAGCAGCCCGTGCCGCTATGGGCGGGTCTGGGGACCGCAGGACACTGCGGTGCCCCACTCCATGTGAAGATGGGATGCCAGCCCCACGGGGGCCATCCTCCGGGGCAGGGCGGGTTCTGTGCTGGTCTCAGAGACTAGACTCAGAGTGGATGAAAACTAATGACACGGGGTCTGGGGAAAGGGCCTTGCAGCTAAAGCAAAAGTCTGTGAGCCGGAATGGAGGGCAGCTGAGTGGGAGCTGGGAGCACGTGCTAGGGCAGATGGCCGGCCCTTCCTGGTCTGCGACTTCCAGAACCTGAATGAGAAGTGTCCTCACACGGGGCCAGAAAGGAAGGCAGCAGGTCTGACTGCGGCAGGGGGGTGCAGGCCGTCTTGGGCGCAGTCCTAGACTTGTGCAGCCAGGGCCATGTATTTTTTTGGTGTTTGCGTTTGTCTTTACTAGTCCTGAGGCTTGAACTCAGGGCCTGGCCACTGAGCTTTTGGGGCTCAAGGCTAGCGTGTTATCACTGGAGCCAAGCGTGGAGGTTAGTTGGAGATAAGACTCTTACGGACTTTCCTCCCTGGGCTGGCTCTGAACTGCACTCTTCAGCTCTCAGTCTGCTGAGTAGCTGGGATTGCAGGTGTGAGCCGCTGGTGCCCAGCGTAGGAGCATGCTTTAGAGCTAGCAATAGTTTGGTGGTGACAGGATGGCATGGTGAGCCCAGGAGGGGGAGGGCGGGAGGGGCCCGGGGAAGCCGCACGGGGGTGGGGCGGCTCAGTACCTTGCCGTGCACACGCATCCAGCGACAGTACAACGCGTGCTTACACAGGCGTGACGGCCGGCCCAGCTCGTCCTTCCCAGTTGTGGCGTTGATGACCTCGAGGGCGGAGTCACCCACGGTCCAGTTGACGCTGAAGTTAGGCGCCTTCCCTGGCTGCCGAGCCTCGGCATTGCTGATGCCTGAAACGGAGAGGACCATGGGGTGACACCAAGCCCCGTCCGCCCTAGGGAGGGAGGGATGGGCACCAGGTTGGCACAGCGCACAGTGGGGGGGGGGGGGTGTTGCAGGGTGAGCACTGAGCACTGAGCAAAAACACCGTCCTGCAGAGGGCGCACTGCTTGTGGTGGCAGCAGCACCACCAGCCAGTGCCTGCTGCCACTCTGTGCCCAAGAGACGCTGAGCCAGGACCTCCCATCCAGCGTGCCTGATCCCACTCTGCGGCTAACACCTAAAAAACAAAGCTGGGACAATGGTAACAAGTAAGCAGAAATGGGAAGTTCAAAGTAGAAATCATTGAACTAAGAGGGGGGAAAAGCAATGAACCCAAAGCTTGATTCTTAGAGAATAACCCTCTAGCAACACCGATAAGGAAATGCAGGTCCCCAAGTTTAAGGAATAAGAAGAAGTTATGTCAGGAGGGTGCCACAGACCCTAGGAAGATGACAGGGTGGCTGTGAATGCCCACGTCAGCAGACTGAACAAGCCAGAGGAGATGGCCAAATCCCTAGAACCACATAAACCACTAAGCCTCCTGGAAAAAAGGACAGAAAGAGCCCTACAACTATTACTGAAATTCAATTTGTAGTTAGATAATATCTCATTAAAGAAAACCCTCAAGCCCAAATGGCTTCACTAGTGAATTCTCACCAACACTTAAAGAAGCATTACTGTGCGCTCTACAGGAACTCTTCCTGGAGAGGAAGAAGTGCATCAGAGCACATTTTATGTCCAGTGAAGACATTAAAACAAAACTACAGACCAAACCCCTACAAATCAGAATTCTATAGATGTAAAAGCTATAAAGACAATGAATCCAACAATATGTAACGAATTTAAAAAGAAAGCCTAGTGGGTACCAGGGACTCACCTATAATCCTAACTGCTCAGGAGGCTGACATCTGAGGATCATGATTCAAAGCCAACCTGGGCAGAAAAGTTCCTGTGAGACTCTTATCTCCAATTAACAATTCAAAAACTGGAATGGCAATGTGGCTTAAGTGGTAGAGCATTAGCCAAGAGCACAAAAAGGCTCAGGGACAGTACCCAGGCCTTGAGTTCAAGCCCTACAATCAACAGGTTGCCCAGGAACGCAAGGTTGGTTTAGTATTTTTTTAAACACCAGTGTCACCATATTAACAAATAAAGACATTAACCAAATGACCATCTCAGAACAGACAAAAAGCACTGAAAACAATCTAATATCCATTCTTCATTATGCATTCTTAGCAAACTGGAAATAGAAACTTTCTTAGACTGCACACCAAGGCATCAACGAACAAGCAAAGAACATCTTTCCCTACCATCACACACCAGACAAGGAAGTTCTCTGAACACCTATGGAAAGTCCCATCCACGCAGTCAGGGGTGAAGGAAATCAATGGCAGCCAAACTTCACAGGCAGAAACAGCATGGCCACGTGTCATAAAACCCAGCAGCATCTCCTAGAAAGCTGCTAGAACCAATGCTTTCATAGACCAGCAGCAGACAACGGAAACTCTAAACACAAATAGAACAATTATAGTAGCACTGAGAATATGAAACACTTATCATTATATCTGACAAAAGACATGCATGATGTAAACGCTGCCAGGAGAAGCAAAGGTTATGGGAGTGAGCGGAGACACACACTATGTTCTTCAAGTGGGAGATCCAAAATTGTTGGGTTTTTTTTGGGTCCGGTCGTGGGGCCTGAACTCTGGGCCTGGGCACTGTCCCTCAGCTCTTCAGCTCAAGGCTAGTGCTCTACCACTTGAGCCACAGCGCCACTTCCGGCTTTTTTCTTTTTGCTTATGTGGTGCTGAGGAATCAAACCCAGGGCCTCATGCATGCAAGGCAAGCGCTCTACCACTGAGCCACCTTCCCAGCCCCCAAAATTGATAAAATGCTGGTTCTCCTCAGACTGGTCTACACATTCATCAGTAACCCAATCAAAACAAAAATCCAAGAAGGCTTTGATGTAGAAATTGAAAAGCAAATTATAAAATTGTTATGGAAACACAAGAAGGACCAACATAGTCTAGGTCCTTCATTAGAGGAAAAGAATGACGTTGGAGGGCTGGCTCTTCCTGAGCTCAAAACCTAAAATCATGATGGCAATCATGGCAGTGTGACACTGGCCTTGAAACAGACAAGCAAGATTAGTGGAAACCACTGGAGTCCAGAAGTAGACACACACACACACACACACACACACACACACACACACACACACACACGTCAACTAATATCTGACAAATATTACAAAAACAATTCATGGCAAATGGAGGAATGTGTCACCAAGTGGTCCTGGGTCAAAAGGATAATCTTTTCTGTTTAAATGAACTTTGACCTCAGGGCAGAAGTGCCATCTTTCAATAATTCACCAAAATGACAAACACAAAGGGCAAGAGGAAAGGCTCTCCTGCTACACTCTAGGCCTTTTAGAAAACATGGAGCTCAGGCACCTACGTGTGAATTTATGAGAAGGGTCACGTTAGACGGGAGGGAATCTCCCACAGACGCTCTCGGCATAACGGCAGGTCTACACTATTACCCACCCGCTGCTATCGCTGTGGTAAGGGCAAGGGCAAGGTTCCCGCCAAGAGAATTATCCTGTATTCACTGAGCATAAAGAGCATTCTAACTGCAGAGAGGACTCTCTGGAACGTGAAGGAAGATGACCAGGGAGGACAAAGCCTGAGGAGCTCACAGCAGGCCGTCTGGCTTCTGGGCTGCTCGTGGAAGGGCACCTCTCCCGTGTCCCCTGGCTGCTTGTGGAAGGGCACCTCTCCCGTGTGCCCTGGCTGCTTGTGGAAGGGCACCTCTCCCGTGTCCCCTGGCTGCTCGTGGAAGGGCACCTCTCCCGCGTGCCCTGGGCTGCTCGTGGAAGGGCACCTCTCCTGTGTCCCCTGGGCTGCTTGTGGAAGGGCACCTCTCCCGTGTGCCCTGGGCTGCTTGTGGAAGGGCACCTCTCCTGTGTCCCCTGGCTGCTTGTGGAAGGGCACCTCTCCCGTGTCCCCTGGCTGCTCGTGGAAGGGCACCTCTCCCGTGTGCCCTGGGCTGCTCGTGGAAGGGCACCTCTCCCGTGTGCCCTGGGCTGCTTGTGGAAGGGCACCTCTCCTGTGTCCCCTGGCTGCTTGTGGAAGGGCACCTCTCCCGTGTGCCCTGGCTGCTCGTGGAAGGGCACCTCTCCCGTGTGCCCTGGCTGCTTGTGGAAGGGCACCTCTCCCGTGTTTCCTGGCTGCTTGTGGAAGGGCACCTCTCCTGTGTGCCCTGGCTGCTTGTGGAAGGGCACCTCTCCCGTGTGCCCTGGGCTGCTCGTGGAAGGGCACCTCTCCCGTGTGCCCTGGGCTGCTCGTGGAAGTGCACCTCTCCCGTGTGCCCTGGGCTGCTTGTGGAAGGGCACCTCTCCTGTGTCCCCTGGCTGCTTGTGGAAGGGCACCTCTCCCGTGTCCCCTGGCTGCTCGTGGAAGGGCACCTCTCCCGTGTGCCCTGGCTGCTTGTGGAAGGGCACCTCTCCCGTGTCCCCTGGCTGCTTGTGGAAGGGCACCTCTCCCGTGTGCCCTGGGCTGCTCGTGGAAGGGCACCTCTCCCGTGTCCCCTGGCTGCTTGTGGAAGGGCACCTCTCCCGTGTGCCCTGGCTGCTTGTGGAAGGGCACCTCTCCCGTGTTTCCTGGCTGCTCGTGGAAGGGCACCTCTCCCGTGTGCCCTGGGCTGCTTGTGGAAGGGCACCTCTCCCGTGTCCCCTGGGCTGCTCGTGGAAGGGCACCTCTCCCGTGTCCCCTGGGCTGCTTGTGGAAGGGCACCTCTCCCGTGTGCCCTGGGCTGCTCGTGGAAGTGCACCTCTCCCGTGTTTCCTGATGGAGCCTCGCTTTGGATCTGGGACTGCCCCTTCTTTGGCCGGCTGCAGAGCTGTCCCCTGCAGACAGTGCAGGACGGCTTCTCTTCGGAGGGTCGGGCATGCCTGCTTAGGGATAACTGGTTGGCATCTTTGGCTGTATTAGGATTGGCTCTTTCAGGAACAAATGACTATTGCTTACATTATACCATCTTCCTCTGTCAGCCATTACTTCTGAGAAAATCGAAAGATCACTGTTGAAGGACACTTAAACTCTAGAACTGCAACATCTGCATTAAAGCTAAATGGTCAATTAACTAAAATGTAAGATGCTAAAAGTACAATTTTTTTGTATTTTGTTTTATGCTAATTAAAATGTCATTTTTAGCAAAAATGGAGTAAATAAAGCAAAAAGGAAATAGCTAGCCTGAGGCTCAAATACTATCCATATGCTTTTTCTGGGGCACAAGGCCCCTAAATGGTCAGAGAAATGAGTTTCTGTGTGTCTGGGCCTGGCAGCCATGAGCAGCTCATCTTTCCAGGGCTGCAAAGCGAGAAGGAGGGCAATGAGTTGATCACAGGCCACCATGCAGAAACCAATCCAAGCAGGAGCAACTCGGTTGGTAATGAAAGTCCCCAGATGTTATAAATCAAGTGTGCTGAATCAGAACTTTTAAAGCAAAACATACAGAGCAACAGAGAAGTGGCCTAATAACAGACACGCGCACGCACACACACACATGCACACACACACACACACACACACACACACACACACACACACACACACAGCTGGGACAGAGGACCCTCCTGCAGGTCAGGCTGGGCGCCGAGGCGCGCACACACACACACACACACACACACACACACAGAGCTGGGACAGAGGACCCTCCTGCAGGTCAGGCTGGGCGCCGAGGCGCGCGCACACACACACACACACACACACACACAGAAGCTGGCATTGACTTTTTTTCTTATTTCCACTTAAAGCCACCCCTCACACAGTGGGGTGACAGGAAATGGTTAGAGGAACTATGGTTCATGTTATAGAGATTGCTAGTTCCTTACTAATGGGCTAGGGAAAGTACAGCTTACAGGCTTGATGGAAGTGGCCTTTATTCTGCAAATCTGAACCATAAAGCCCTGGGCAGGAGGGAACTCAAATGACGCATGGCCTGCCCTTGGTGGCCCCACGGGACCCCCAGAGGGGAAGCTCTGAGACCCTCCCCTCCAGGACTCCATGCTCACTGTGACCGGTCAGTTGGTCCGGACCTCCTGGGGCACCAGGCTGAATCAGACAGCCTCCTTCTCTGCCTCCTCTGGGTCTCTGCTGCCCTCACAGAGCCCCCCCCAAATCCAGGATGTGTCCTCTAGGAAATTCCATGCTGGGAGTGAAAATGGGCCATTCAAGAGTCATGAGCCAGAAAAAGACTCCCCTCGGGAGAAAAATATCTGCATGTGCACACTTCCTCTCTTCTGTGGATGGTAAGACTGCTCACATCAAAGCAGAGCCAGAAACTCTCTCCAGTTCCCAAAAAAACTATACATAAGCTCATTTCCCTGCTTCTCGGTGTGGTCTATCCTGTTCTCTTTGTGTGCATTAGCGTTTGGACCCAGACCCATCTTACTCCCAGGGATTCTGGTAACAGCGCCTCAGCACTGCCTGGTTTGTTCTCATTTACTGACAACATCTGCATTAAAAGTAGCAGTAAAGGGGCTAGGAGGTGGCTCAGTGGTAGAGCGCTTGCCTTGCATGCGTGAAGCCCTGGGTTCGATTCCTCAGCACCACATAAATGGGAAAAAACAGAAGTGGCGCTGTGGCTCAAGTGGTAGAGCGCTAGCCTTGAGCTGAAGAGCTGAGGGACAGCGCCCAGGCCCAGAGTTCAGGCTCCACAACTGAAGGAGGAAAAAAAAAGTAGCAGTAAAGGGCCAGGCCCTGGTGGCTCACGCCTGTAATCCTAGCTACTCAAGAGGCTGAGAGCTGAGGATCGACATTTGAGGCCAGCATGGGTGGGAAAGTCGGTGACACTCTCATCTCCAATTAGTCACAGAAAAAGCTGGAAGTGGTACTGTAGCTCAAGTGGTAGAGTACTGGCCTTGAGCACCCAGGCCCTGAGTTCAAGACCCAGAATTGGCAAAAAAAAAAAAGCAGTAAAGACAGCTTGGCCACCACCACCCTGCCCCAGAGCTTGCTTGTTACTCGGGCCCTATCAGCAGGGTGGCTGTCAGTCCCAGGACAGACAAAAGTAAATAAATAAATTCTTTTGTTGAGGAAAAGAATTCAGGCAAGATGTGAACATAGTAAATATTTTCTTGTTAGGAGAAAACAACGGCAGAGAACTAGAACCCATGGCATACGCACGGCACAGGAGGTCAGCTCCTCGTTCATCTCCAGCCATCCTGCCCTGGCTTTGGGGTTACAGAGATGACGTGGCTCAACAGGGAAAACTGGGTCTCTGAAGACAACTTTCTGATTGGTGGGTCTCCTTCATGCTCCTCATAAGGTAGTGCACCGTCCTCATCTCCTTGTTTTGGGGTTTGCTCCGCTCGCGTGCCGGATGTCCCGCCTCCTTTCTCTCGCAGCTGCCCCGGCATTCATTGCCAGGCAGGCTTTGGTTTCACCCACTGCCCCGTCTCCTGCCCGCTGCTCTGCCGGCCGCTTTCCCACCTCCTTGCGCCATGGCATGTCATAAATCTCATTGCTCTCACCGTGTCTCTTTATTTGGCATTCCTTTCCTAATAAACTTTCCTATCATTTTCACGGTTTCAAATTTTGCCTCACTGGACACAAGGACCAAGGTAGATACTGCACAGACTCCAGTAGCAGTGAAAGCAACTTCCCTGGAACCCCAGAGAACCAGAACCAGGACTGTGGCCAACCGGCCCCACCTGAGCAAGCCTGAGACATGGGCTGTAGAGCACCTGCTCCCTCTGTCCACCGGGACACACCAAGACCTGCCTATCCTGGACTATGAGTCTATGAGTCTAGTTTTAGACTAGACTCAGGTCTGTGCTGTGGTAGTGAGGCGTCAGGTCTGTGCTGGGTGATGGAGGCGTCAGGTCTGTGGTGTGGTGATGGAGGCGTCAGGTCTGTGCTGTGGTAGTGAGGCGTCAGGTCTGTGCTGTGGTGATGGAGGTGTCAGGTCTGTGCTGGGGTGATGGAGGCGTCAGGTCTGTGGTGGGGTGATGGAGGCATCAGGTCTGTGGTGGGGTGATGGAGGCGTCAGGTCTGTGGTGGGGTGATGGAGGTGTCAGGTCTGTGCTGGGGTGATGGAGGCGTCAGGTCTGTGCTGGGTGATGGAGGCGTCAGGTCTGTGCTGGGCTGATGGAGGCGTCAGGTCTGTGCTGGGTGATGGAGGCGTCAGGTCTGTGCTGGGGTGATGGAGGCGTCAGGTCTGTGCTGGGTGATGGAGGCGTCAGGTCTGTGCTGGGGTGATGGAGGCGTCAGGTCTGTGCTGGGGTGATGGAGGCGTCAGGTCTGTGCTGTGGTGATGGAGGCGTCAGGTCTGTGCTGGGGTGATGGAGGCGTCAGGTCTGTGCTGTGGTAGTGAGGCGTCAGGTCTGTGCTGTGGTAGTGAGGCGTCAGGTCTGTGCTGTGGTGATGGAGGCGTCAGGTCTGTGCTGGGGTGATGGAGGCGTCAGGTCTGTGCTGGGTGATGGAGGTGTCAGGTCTGTGCTGGGTGATGGAGGCGTCAGGTCTGTGCTGGGGTGATGGAGGCGTCAGGTCTGTGGTGGGGTGATGGAGGCGTCAGGTCTGTGATGGGGTGATGGAGGTGTCAGGTCTGTACTGGGGTGATGGAGGTGTCAGGTCTGTGGTGGGGTGATGGAGGTGTCAGGTCTGTGCTGGGTGATGGAGGCGTCAGGTCTGTGCTGTGGTGATGGAGGCATCAGGTCTGTGGTGTGGTGATGGAGGCGTCAGGTCTGTGCTGTGGTAGTGAGGTGTCAGGTCTGTGCTGGGTGATGGAGGCGTCAGGTCTGTGCTGTGGTGATGGAGGCATCAGGTCTGTGGTGGGGTGATGGAGGCGTCAGGTCTGTGCTGGGGTGATGGAGGTGTCAGGTCTGTGCTGTGGTGGTGAAGTGTCAGGTCTGTGCTTGTGAGCCCTGGGAAGGAATCATGTGGTTCTCTGGGGACCTGCAGTAGAACAAGATGTGCTCAGGAGTGCACCAATCCTGTCTTGGGCTCTGGCCTTCTGTCCTACCATGGTGTCCTGCTCCCGCTCCCACCCAGGTCGTACCTTCTTCCATCCCTCACAAGGACCCTGGTCCCTCACAAGACCTGCCTGGTCTTGGATTTGCCACCTGCAAACCTGCAAGCTAAATAAACCTCTTTTCTTTGAAAAGTACCCAGCCTTGGGTATGTTGTTATAGCAACAGCCAATTCAGCACCCACTCTGAAATGTATAACATAGAACAGAGGAAAAATATTTCCTGGCTCATGAAAGATTCATGCACTAATCCAAAGAACACTTGCTTCATGTTCAAATTTACCCCCATTGAGTGCTATCTGTGACCTAACTCAGTTTGTTTTGAGAAGGAGTGGCTAGAGTTGATCTGAGACAATTTATCTTTCCACACCTGCACACTCATTTGCCCAGAGAGACATGCTTCCCACAGAAACGCCACGCTACTTTCTGCCTGTTAAAGACGTGCTAGTTGCCAAGCACTAAAGCAGGGCAAAGCTCACACACACCAGAAGAAGCCTGTTTTAGTTTAGGATTATGGTTTTAGTTTCGTGCTTTCAAATAGTAAGTAAAACAACATTTTTAAACGGTAGAAGTACCTTAACTGTGTCCCTTTAAATAAGGGTGGGCTTAGAAGTTAGGACCCGTGAATTCAAAAGCTCCTGTTCACTTTACTCTTAGCCACTGAAATTCTAAAAAAGAAAAGAAATGGATAACAGAGGGTATAAAGGGCAGGGCAGCACCGAGGAAGGGTCAGCCCGCGGCCAGCACACCTGCCGCTCTGGCCCTGCCTCCCGGAGGGGGCGGCCATGCCAGCGGCTCTTGTGATGAGGCCTGGGGGGCCTCCCGTCAGGACGGTGTCCTACAAGGCCTAGCTCAGTGAGGCTGGGAGGGCCAGTGCTCCGTCACCTTCACAGCATCTGCGCGTCTTGTTGTTTGGCAGTCGTGTGAGTGCAGAGGGAGAGACGGTGCTGGGCCCACTGCATCTCTCCACCCAGGAAGGTCTGCAGCTAGCGAAAGGCCCCAGTCCTGCAGGGGCCTCACAGGCCCTGGAGACCAGGCCCCACAGGCTTGGAGGTGGGGTCTTGTGCCTTCTTTCAGTGGCTCTACCACAATCTGGTGGCCATAGACTGGCTCTAGGTGATGGGGGCGGTGCAGACGGTGTGACCCTGGGTGTGAGGACGAGGTGGCAGAGGGGGAGGGACATAGGAGGGAGAGGGTGTCATGGAATACTTGCCGCTGAGCAGGGGCTTGTTGAGAGTGTAGAGAGGGGGCAGGTCCTCAATGTTGGAGATCCGCTGGTACATGGCCCTGGAGAGGTGGTCCCCGTGGTACAGGCTGCCCAGGATGATGCTGGAGAAGTAGATGGGTTCCACGAAGATGCTGAGCAGCGACCCCTGGATGCCCACCACGTTCCAGCTGTGGGGAGAAGGCGCATCAGGAGAGGCAGGGCTGTGGGGCCGCACCAGAGCAGACACTGCGAGGGAAAGTGGAGAAGGCGGGGGAGGAGGACCCAGCTGGCCTAGCAGTCAAAATGCTCAACAGGAAAACCGTTTAAACATGATCTTAAGCTGTGCAGTGACTTTGCTGACATACTCCCATGACAACACAAGGGCTGGAGACCAGCTACACAGAGAGACCAAGGGGCCTTGTATTTCTTATGAAAACCTGCAGTGAATTCCCAACACAAAAGCATTCATTTGATTACTTCCACTGAAAATGATGCCCCAACAGGAGCCCACACTCACTCCCAGGATGCAGGCCGGGGTACTACGTGTGGAGCCCCTGGGATCCGGCCTGCTGGGAGATGCGAGGGCAGGTGGCCTCCCTGCCCTGCCTGCCAGCTGGGAGGGCAGGGGCACCTGTAGACGGCCGAGACAGGCATGAAGGTGGGAGCGGCTGAGCTGACATTTATCAGCAGCCATGCCACTCCATTGCAGGATGGCCTGCCACGTGCCCACACTGCTCAACCCCACAGGAGGGGACCCTGCAGCCTGCGCACCCACATGGCTGCGTTCACTGGCTCCTAGGGTACGGATTCTTTCCTTTTCTTTTTTTCCTAAGCCTGGTGTTGAGTTCTGTGTCTGAGCACTAGCCTTGAGCCACAGCTCTGCTTCTGGATTTTTGTGGTTAACTAGAGAGAAGAATCTTACAGACTTTCTTGCCCAGGCTGGCTTTGAATTGCTATCCTCAGACCTTAGCTTCCTGAGTAGCAAGGATTACAGGTGTGAGCCACCAGCACCTAGCTAGGTTACTGATTCTTTAGAACTGAGATACCATCTCAGTCCAGTCTGAATGGCCATCAAAAAACAAAAACAAAATGTTGATGAGGACGTGGGGAAAGAGGAGTCCTAATACACTGTTGGGAATCAGTATGGTGTTTTCTAAGAAAGCTAAAAGTAGAACTAACCCATGACCCAGTAATATTACTTCCAGGCATTTTCCCAAAGGAATGTAAGTCGAGATATGAAAGCAGCACCCCAGCCCAGATCTGGAAACAGCCTAGATTCCCTTCAACTGACCAGTGAATCAAGACAATGTGGAGTATGTATGTGCACACACACATACATGAGTATTAGTCAACCATAAAGAAGAACAGAAGTTGTTATTTGTAGGGAAATGGATGGATCTGGAAGCCATCATATTAAGAAAAGAAAGCCAGGTTCAGAAGGACAAAGGTTACATGTTTTCTCTCATATGTAGATGTTAAACCTAAAGTGTAAACACACGTAAACACATACATGATCATACACATATATACATGATCAATCTGACTGTGGTGCATGCATATAAGAGATACCATAATAATACCCTCTGAATAATTATGAAACACTTTAATGAAAACAAATACTAGGAAGTTGAAACATTTTGTGTGGGATGCAGGCACTAGTGGGAGGAGGAGGATGAACAGAGATGGGAAAGGAGGTGCATACGGTCAAAATACTTTACGTACATGGCTGAAAATAGAACAAGGAAACTTGCTGAGACTAGCTTGTGAAGAGATGGAGGGGAGGAGGGAGAAAGACAGAGATGTCTATCTAAATGGACATGTTAGGATGAAACCTCTTGTATGACTGACAGATGCTAATAAGAATAAATCATTTAAAAATAAAGCACCAAAAAAGCAAATAAATGAAGACCCACTCACTGAGGCAAACCAACCTGAAGGAAAGAATAAGGTACTAAGAAAAGGGAAGATGAGGGGCAGAAGATTAGGGAAGGTTCCTTGGGTAACAGGCTGTAGGAGGAAGGCATATCTAGCTGCAGGTACAGGAGAGGCAGGAGCAGGAGAGGCCCAGGTCCGCCTGACGGCAGGAGCGGCCGTGGCGGCGGTGTAGACTGGGGTGAGCAGTGGAACTTCTACTGGGTGCAGGTGTAGGGACAAGGACTGATCCTGGTACCTTGTAGGATGTGATGTCAGGGTCCAGCAATGGGCCTCAGGGAAAGGGACGGATGGGGACAGGCCATGGTGGCACGCTGGGAAGTGCCACTTGGCGTCAGTGGGACAGGGAAGTGGGCAGCCTGGAGACAGAGGACTGGGCCCAGGACGGAGAGCAGGCTTGTAAGTGCAGCGGGGTGATGGTCACGTGGACTTCCCTCTACCAGCTGTCCCAGGGGAGGCACCATGCGCCCAGCCCACACCCATCTGCACCTCCCACTGTCTGGACCACAGTGGACACTAGGAGCCTCTAGGTCTGAGTGGTAAATTGTGGTGGGCCCAGCATGCAGACCAGTGTCCCTCTGCTGTGCCCATCTCTGGCCTGTAGCTGCCCAGGCTGCATGCTGGCATTGCATTCACCTCAGAGATGATCAGCACAGATCCCTGGGGATCCACGATCAGAAGAGATGTGAGGCCTGACCTCTGGCTGGCTGTTGATGCCACCCTCCCTTCCCAGCCCTCCCCTCACAGCCCAGCCCTCCCTCACAGCCCAGCCCTCCCCTCACAGCCCTCCCCTCACAGCCCAGCCCTCCCCTCTCAGCCCTCCCCTCATAGCCCAGCCCTCCCTCTCAGCCCTCCCCTCCCAGCCCAGCCCTCCCCTCACAGCCCTCCCCTCTCAGCCCTCCCCTCTCAGCCCAGCCCTCCCCTCACAGCCCTCCCCTCTCAGCCTTTCCTCACAGCCCAGCCCTCCCCTCACAGCCCAGCCCTCCCTCATAGCCCAGCCCTCCCCTCACAGCCCTCCCCTCTCAGCCCTCCCTCACAGCCCAACCCTCCCCTCACAGCCCTCCCCTCACAGCCCAGCCCTCCCTCACAGCCCAGCCCTCCCCTCACAGCCCTCCCCTCTCAGCCCTCCCTCACAGCCCAACCCTCCCCTCACAGCCCTCCCCTCACAGCCCAGCCCTCCCCTCACAGCCCTCCCCTCTCAGCCCTCCCCTCACAGCCCTCCCCTCTCAGCCCTCCCCTCACAGCCCAGCCCTCCCTCACAGCCCTCCCCTCACAGCCCTCCCCTCACAGCCCAGCCCTCCCTCACAGCCCTCCCTCACAGCCCAGCCCTCCTCTTCCAGCCTTCCCCTCCCAGCCCAGCCCTCCTTCACAGCCCTCCCCTCAAAGCCCAGCCCTCCCCTCTCAGCCCTCCCCACTCAGCCCAGCCCTCCCTCACAGCCCAGCCCTCCCCTCACAGCCCAGCCCTCCCCTCATAGCCCAGCCCTCCCCTCACAGCCCAGCCCTCTCCCACAGCCCAGCCCTCCCCTCACAGCCCAGCCCTCCCCTCACAGCCCAGCCCTCTCCCACAGCCCAGCCCTCCCCTCACAGCCCTCCCCTCCCCTCACAGCCCAGCCCTCTCCCACAGCCCAGCCCTCCCCTCACAGCCCAGCCCTCTCCCACAGCCCAGCCCTCCCCTCACAGCCCAGCCCTCCCCTCACAGCCCAGCCCTCTCCCACAGCCCAGCCCTCCCCTCACAGCCCTCCCCTCCCCTCACAGCCCAGCCCTCCCCTCACAGCCCAGCCCTCCCCTCACAGCCCTCTCCTCACAGCCCTCCCTCACAGCCCAGCCCTCCCCTCACAGCCCAGCCCTCCCCTCACAGACCTGCCCTCACAGCCCTCCCCTCTCAACCCAGCCCTCACAGCCCAGCCCTCCCCTCCCAGCCCAGCCCTCCCCTCACAGCCCTCCCCTCTCAGCCCTCCCCACTCAGCCCAGCCCTCCCCTCACAGCCCAGCCCTCCCCTCATAGCTCAGCCCTCTCCCACAGCCCAGCCTTCCCCTCACAGCCCTCCCCTCCCCTCACAGCCCTCCCCTCACAGCCCAGGCCTCCCCTCTCAACCCAGCCCTCCCCTCACAGCCCAGCCCTCCCCTCTCCAACAGGCAGCAGCATGCTGTAGGACTGCGAACACGCAAGTCAGCCCTTCTCGCATGCTGTCCCCAACAGCTCTTGAGCAAATGCTGGGTGTGCAATAGCCTGTCGCTTTCTAGACCCTCACCTGCCCTCCTTCAGCCCAGAGCTCCAGGGAGTCAGCCCCAGGTCCATGGAGTCAGCCACGGGTCCTACCTTCTTCTTAAGTTTACGCCCAATGTGCCTGGGTCTTCCCCGCCTAGTACCTCTAACCTCTAACTTCCAACCTCCAACCTCTAGCCTACAGGAGGAACATCACTGCTGTCTGTTGCATTTGCTGGCTGTGCCAGCATCACAAGAGTATATCTGCCCCAGAAAAGACTTTTTAATGTGTTGAATGGAAGAATGCCTCAATTCCTAGACTCACTCTTTCTATCCTCCTTAAAGGGAAGGAAAGCAAGCTTCCTACTTTATAAAACAAAGCTGAAGGGGCTCTGGAGACCTCAGAGCTCCTTTCTAATGCAGATTAGAAGCCCAGGGTTTGGGGTTCTCAGGCAGAGGCTTCCCCTGGGCACACTAATGCTGTGATCCTGCAGAAAGGTATCTGTTAGGACTCATTAATTCTTAGCACTCCTTTCCTAGGATCCCTGGAGCTTCCAGAACTCTGGAGGCCCTAGGCTGAAAATGGGAGGCTTCACAGCCAACTCTGCCGACAGGCCCAGCCTTGCAGAGAACAGATGCCCACCTTCCCCAGACCACAGACTCCACACAGCAAAAGCACCTAGGAAACAAACCATCACACAGACTGCGGTGCCCCGGAGTGTGTGTGTGTGGGGGGGGACGCTCTGCTGTCACCAGAGGTGAGGAGCACAGGTACTCACGCTCACGGTGCAACCTCAGGCCTGCTGCCCTGGGTTCAGGGCATCTGTGCATGACCTTTTCTCTTTTGTTTTCCTTAGGTGATTTCTTTGAGAACAGGCTTCAGAGGGCTATGTGTTCTGTGCCCTGGACCCAGTGCAGTGCCTAACTTGGCCCTGACTGCCCACCAATGGGCAGCCAGGTCCCCAATTATAGCCTCTTCAGCCTCTGCCCACTGATGGGCAGTTGGACCCAGGCCTGCAGCTTCCTGGCGTGTCCCCAGACCTGCTTCCAACTCTCAAACCAACCAGATCAACCAAAGAAAGTCACATAGGCCCCTCAAAATGAACAACTGTGTAGCATGCCCTTTTGGGGAGCCCCCGCCCAGGTTCCCTATGCTGCTAACCTCTACCAGAAGCCCGTTTCCTGCTGCCCACCTCCCCTGCCTGTCTTCTGCACTCACCAAGCCCCCTGATCTCATCTGGCTATGTGTGAGTCACAATCCCTTGTAGCCAGAGACCGACCAGAGCCCAGGCTCTCCGTGTGCCCACAACTCCCAACCCCAGGTAGGCCTCCCCATATCCCAGAGCCTTCACTGCCAGTCTGCCAGCCCGGTGGCAGGACACATGGATAGACACTGCATTCTCCTCCCCATCATCTACCACAGCAATTTGTCCCCCACCTGTGGTACCCTCTGTGTGGAAAATGGCTCAGCCCTGCCCAGCCCACTTGCCTCTTCCACAGGGGTCCCTGGACAGAGACAGGGCTTTAAACAACTGGCACTGTTTTGGACATCTATACTAGTAGGGATCGTGGCTTTCCTCAGCCACTCTGACACTGCCTTGCCTCTGCTCATCTGTGTTTGTGTCCAAGGCTGTGGGTTAAGTACAAGACAAGGGGCACAGGCCTTATGAGTCAGTACACCAGCTCTGACTTTCCAACACAGACTGCCACCTGCTTTTAGCCTCTCCTCCAGGCAGCCCAGGATGGAATGGGAGGAGAAGGAACTGCTGGGCTGACCTCGAGCATCCTTCCTCCCGGACGCACGCTGGCCCTCCTCTCTTCTCACCCTCACGGCCATTAACTGTGGTTCCACTGCGTTCCCACACCCTCTGCCTGCGTCCATAACCCATCAACTTGCTAGTTCAAAGCCGCTTTAAACCCCCAAGTTCTAGAATAGTATAAAGGCTCAATATTTTAACTACATAGACCAAATTTTAAGGAACTAGTAACCAGAAAAGGACCTGAAATTCTAACTGAAACTTCTGGATCTATCTTCAGCCAAAATGACACTGACAGCTATGAGGGCAACAACGGCCACCATAACTCGGGGACTGGTCATTTCTCTGCGTTCTGCACACTGTATCTTAGGAGGGGCTGGGGAAGAGCAATAAGACGAAAGCCTCACTCAACCAGACTCGTATAACATTGATTCCAAAACCAGGTAAGAGAATCTGCAAGGTTTAGGAAAACCACGGGCCTACCATCTTATAAACGTTAGTGTAAAAACCATAAACCACCTGCTGCGGTTTGGTCGAGGCTTGCACAGTGAGGGTCCATGTGTGGGAAACCAGGTCTCGGCGAGATGCAGTGAGAGGAGGGAAGCCAGGTCTTGCTGAGGTGACGTGGAAGGAGATAGGCGGTGGAGCCTAGAGGTCAGAGGGCACCCACCATGGAAGACAGCCTTTGGGGACCCTTGGTTGATTCTTGCGAGCGGGTTATGATGCAAGCCTGCATCTGACACTGGCATTACACTCTGGCCTGCTGTGATGGACGAGCCCCTGCCATTGTGCTGCTGCTATCCATGAGGTGAAGCCATCTACGGTGTCCTCATCAGAGCTTGCTACCCTGTGTACTCTGTGTGGGGTACAGAGCTTGCTACCCTGTGTAGGACTTTCAATCTCCCCTCAAACCTTTTCTCTATAAAGTAGTCTGTCTTGGACCTGAAGTAGCTGAGAGTAACAGGGAAATTTCTCTTCGATTGCCAATGAATTAAAGAAGCCATAAGGGAAATGATAAAACACTTTGGATGCAGGAAGATGAACTCAACATACCAGAACTTTGGGGTGCAGCAAAAGCAGTGCTAAGAGGACACTTTTTAGCTGCAAGTGTATCAGTCAAGATCAAACACCTGCCGCAGACAAGGAGATTCTCTGTGCTTTCCTTCCGGAGCCAACAGTTCAAAATACCACAGTCTGTAGCATGTTCGGCACAATCACCCGAACCCCAAGTCCATGAATGAATGAAAAGAGGGGCTGGCTATAAAGCGGCAGTGAGGAAAGGCCAAGCCTCCTGTGCCATCGCCCTCGCAGGGGCCACCTTCAGAGAACTCTTGGGATAAGTACCCAAGCAGGGAATAGTGCCCAACTCCAAACAGTTCTGGAAAAGGGAAGTTGGAAAGACTCACAAATGCAACAAGGTGCCTGGAAGGACTCACATACGACAGGGTGGCTTGAAGGACTCACACCATGCAGGGGTTAGCTAGAAGGAGTTACACACGCAGCGGGGCGGCTGGAAGGACACACCCCGGGCAGCGGGGGCCTGCGGGCCTTACCGAGCTATCTTGTCACTACAGGACATGGTGAGCAGCCTTTCACCCTGCAGCACCCCATCCCAGGTCTGGATGCTGGCGTTGGAGCGCACAGGGATTGTCCCCTCTCCAGACTCAATTTTGGTCCGTAGTTGTCCCCTTGCTTTACGATTTGGATGTCTGTCTGCTGGCTCTAAGAGAAAGAAAAGGTTCAGACCCACAGGAAGTAAGCTATCAACTTACTGTGCAACAGATCTAACGATGCCCTATGAACTTAAAACAGCTTATACACATGCTTGTGTCATATGTACAATACACATACAATATGATTTATAAATTATAAAACTGATTTAAAAGGATGTGATACAAGCCAAATTTACAAAAGTGGTCTCCGTGGGGTTTAGGAGAAGGCAGTTAGCATTTTGACTGAAATAGTTTTTTCTGTCATCAGTGATGAGTGGAAGCAAACAGGACAAAATGCTAACATCTACCAATTCTGAGTGACAGATAGTTGGTGTTCGTTGTACTTAAACCCTCATGTAGACATATGCAGAAATAAATCTATGGGAAGTACGGTCATTCTAGGGTCATATAAACATGGGTGATTTTTATTTCCCTTTTCATATTTTGAGAATATTTAGCAAGTGTCCACAGTAAGTCTACTGCCTTTATCGTCAAGGGAAACAATGTGATCAAATGTCCTACCCAGAATATATAATGATGCTTAAGCATGGGAGCAGAGATGGCTGTGAGCGCCTGTGACACCAAGGCTGGCCTGGCCTTCAGGGTGAAGCCTGTGCGGCCAGCAGTGTCTCATGGCACCAGCCTCCCCGGGCTTCTGGGAGAGCAGCTTCCCACTTCCATAGCTCACCAGAAAAATGAAGGACCATAGTCGTCTGACCCGGAGGTGGATTAAATAGGGTTCTCATTCTGATCTCTTATCTCCCCTACATTCTAATTACTGGGCTAATCAGAAATTAGCCCAATCAGAATTAACATCTGCATTTTTATTTACAATTTACTAATTAAACTTCATAGAGAAGAAATAATCCATGCTCCCCAGACCCCACATTGCACCCACACCCACAGTATGTGGCATCTGTCTACATGTGATAGGTCTTTCTTAGGCCTATGGACTGCTGGAGGCTGCCCTCGTACCCTCTAGCACTGGCTCGTGGGGAGAGAAGATTCTGGCATCCCCGCAGGGTGACGTGCTGATGTACAGATGGAACTGCACGGTGTCCTTCAGGCGCAATCCACCTCGCTCCGACTTCTGAAAGATGGACCTTTTCTGATCATCCTTGCTACTGCATGAGAAAAGGCACAAAAGAGATGTTGAACGCTGCATCATTAGCTTTGGCGTCTGGCAGGTTTTCTGGAGGGGAGAGGTGAGCTTGATCTGGGATCTCTGCTAGACATGTCTATGGGCGTCAATAGCTCAGGGCCATTCCCTACCAGACGTGTCACTAACTGTAGGCCACCACTCCCCAGCCATGATTTCACAGCAGAAAGACAACAGGGAGGAAATGGTCTTACTAAGAAAAGTAGTCAGGTCCATGATTTGTTCTGACCAGACACGGGATTAGAATGAGAACCACCATTATGGGGTATTTAGGAAATCTTGTTTTTATCCATACTGAAAACAAAAATCACAGGGTCTCAAACATGGACTATGTTCCATATGAACGCCTACCTCAGGCATAAATGTGCATGTATTTTTAAGTTTAGTCCACTCTATTTCATGATGGAGTATCATGGAAGAATGAGATTCAGTCAGCAGCACGGGAGAGCAGGGTCTAATGCACGTCATAGGAGAACAGGACTCAGCCTCAGTATTACTAATACAGCTAGCATTTTGAGAACTTCTCAGGGTATACAGGAACAAAAAACTCTGTATTGTTTTCTGATAGAAGATACTAAAAACAGGTTCCTTCTCAGGTGCCAGTAGCTCACGCCTGTAATCCTCGCTACTTGGGAGGATAAGGGGTTGGAGGACTGCAGTTTGAAACCATCCCAGGCAGGAAAGTCTGTGAGACTTATCTCCAATTAACCAGAAGTGGAAGTGGAATGTGGCTAAAGTGGTAGAGCACTAGCCTTGAGCAAAAAAGCTCAGGGACAGTGACCAGACCCTGAGTTCAAGCCCCAGGACCAGCACATACACACAAAATAGCTTCCTTTTTGTTTGCTGCTAAACTTACTTTAAGTAAAGGTCAAGTTGTGCATAGAGGAACCTGAGCAGGGACCGCCGGGAGATTATCTCTGCATGGCAGTCATTCAGCGCGAGGCCACGGTCACTCATGTATTCACCGTTGATGCACTTTGTCCCTGTTGAAACACTTATCACTCTGGCGTCTTTGACGTCTGTGCCTGAAAGACAGGAGAGCAGCTGGTGTCGCACAGAGACGGGGGCTGTGAGACCATTCAGACCCTCCCTGAGTTCCCATTCTTAATACAGCCTTTTCCCTGGAGCACACACCCCTGGCATCTAGGCAGGGAGCACTATGCAAAGGACTAACTGTCCTGGAAGGAACCTCCCAAATGAAGATTCAAAGCAATAAAGAGAGGTCAGGTGGTCCATTTCTGTAATCCCAGCTGCTTGTGTAAAGTGAAATAGGATTGTGGTTTGAAACTAGCACAGGCAACAAATTAGCAAGACCCTAATTTGCTAACAAGCCACAGATGATGGCGTGCTCCTGATGTCCCAGCTCTGGGGAAAGCACAGGCAGCAGGAGGATCATAGTCCTAGGCCAGCCCTGGGCAAGAATGCAAGGCCTTATCTGAAAAATAACTAAGGCACAAAGGACCGAGGACGTGGCTCAAGTGGTAGGGGACCAGCTCAGTAAGGACAAAGTAATGAGTTCAAACACCTGTTATTCAAAACAAAAATACTCCCCCCTTCCCCCCTTGCTGAAAACAAAAACCCTGTAAAGGTTGGGAAGAATGGCTTGAAGGCAGCTAAGGGGGAGTGACCTCTGGAGAGGGGTTGCTCGGGTACCAGCCTTGAGAGGTCACTGACCCAGACAGGACATGTGGACATAAGTGAGGGCTGGGTGTGGCTCACGGCAGAGGCTGGCTGGCGGGAGGCCTGGGTTCCATCCCTGGCCTGGCAAAAGAACCCTGCGTGTGGCCTCCCAGCAGGCTCATACCCCAGCACAGCCAAGGCAGAGCCACTGCACGGGAGATGACAAGGTTACTAGCATGGAGAATGGGGGGGAGAGGGGTCTCCCTGGCTGGCTGGTGCGCCTTCTTCCTCCAGCTCCACCTCTCTGCTCTGCGGCCTACATTCCTATCCAGGCTAGGCCAAGACCATCCCCACGCTGCCCCCCCACCCCCGGGAGCCAGGCACTGGTCAAGCGTGCAGCTCTTCATCCTTGGCCTTAGCAATCACGGAGATGACGCTGCTATACCCACACTCCGTGGGTATACAGGAGGAGGGCAGCAGTTCCTTCACTGCTGGAAACTTCTAAATAATCTAATGGGGCGACTACTATCCTGAACTGTGCTTTCCCCCACAGACTTTGTGGTCTATGTAGATGTGCTGTTGGAGCCACACAGATCTGGCAGAAATAACACTAACTGAGAATGCAGACGATTTCCAGCTGAAACGCAAGTAAGTCAGTAGTGTGCTTTTCCCTGAGCAAATTGAGGCCAATCACATAATTGAAGACAAGAGTTGCTAAAATTTAACACAGTATGCTTACTCCAAAGGCAAGACTTAGGTCAAAAAGCTGAGTATTTAGTCAGGTGGCAGTGTCTCGAGTTTGTAATCTTGTAGCTAATTGGGAGACTAAGAACTGAAGGATTGTGGGTTAAAGCCAGGCCAGACAGAGAAGTTCAAGAGACCCATAGTGAGCACCATGGCATGTGCCTGTCATACGGCTGCATGAGAGGCTGGGTCTGGAAGGTCCATGGCTCTGGCTCAGCTCAGGTAGGAAAGTCTGCAAGATTCCCTCTCAACCGAGGGAAGCTGTCATGTGCTGTCATCCAGCAACTGCAGGAAGCCTGAATCAGTAGATTGCAGGCTAGGTATGTGCCTAGACAGGAAGTGAGACCTCATCTTAAAAATAACCTGGGGCAAACAGGACTACAGGTGTGGCTCAGTAGTGGGAAGAGGCCTAGAAGAGGCTCTGAGCTCTAATCCCAGTTTAACAAAGAAGGTTTTATTACTTTGTTGGTGCTGGGGAATGAAGTCTGGCTTTCTGTCTACAAAGCAAGTGAGCTCCCACTGAGCCACGCCTCAGCCCCAACAGGGAAAAGGCACGTTCCTATGCTTGTGTTCAGCAGCCGCTGCCCCTCTACCTGCATACGGAGATGCTGTCCCTACACCTGCATACGGCAGGCACAGGCAAAGAAAGTAATTCCCGGTGGTGTCACAGGGCCTCTCCAGACTGACAGCATCTCACAATTGTCAAACATGGGAGCGGGCATGCAGACAGAGCATAACACACTTACCTGTGGTCATGACCACTCCAGCAAGCACTTTCCTGCGTGCATGAGGCGAGGAGAAGTTTTCCGTCAGGTCTCCAAACTTACCCAGAACCAGGCGTGAGACAGCGTCTGCCAACACCTGGCGAAGCACAGAGCAAGGTTAGAGTCAGTGTGCTCCTGGGCTGCGTCCCGGCCTCCCTCCCACCAACACGCACAGGGATGCACACCGCTTCTCCTCCAGAAAATCATTAAGGGTAAAGCCAACAAGCAAGTGTGCACGTGTGTGGGCATGTGTATATGTGCTTCTTGAGCAGCTAGAGTTACAGATGTGAGCTACAGGCGCCTGGCTTTTGTAGTCTTTCTCTGGTGGCTTACGTCTTGGAAATGATGAGTATCCAGTGTTTGGGACAATGGCTGTTGGGTCGAGGTTTGACAAGCCAAATGAGACCAACATACTACTAACCTTACACACACGTCCAGACAATCGCACTGCCACTGGCAAACCTAATGCTGCCCTTAACAAAAGACTTCCAAAACAACCAGGAAAGTCACGCTTGTTCTAGCGGACAGCCTATTTGCGATAATGCTGTTGGCAGGATGTTCTCCACCTGTCTCCACACCGGAAGTCACCAGTGAGTCTCAAAGGGTGGCCGCACAGGTTCAGAGTGACAAGAGCCTGTGGCCAGGTTCTCATGACCTCAAAGGAACAGCAGCAACCCACACATGGCACGGGTGAGGAGAAGGATTGGACAGAACTGGGCTGCAGGAGCCGTCCAGAGTCAGGATGCCAGGCACAGGACCATGCCTTCGAATTTACTCAGGGGGAAACATGACAGTAGACATGCCGGACACACCCGGGAAATGCCAGCTCCCGCTCTGCAGAAGGCCAGGCCTCTCTGCAAGCACTCAGCGGGTCTCCTGCAGAGGACGGGAGCTGGTGGCCTTCGCCGGAACCCAGAGCCTGTGTAGCCGTGAGACTCCCGGGTAGCTCATACCCCCTGTGGTTCATGAAGTGACTGCCCTTGAAACTGGAGGGGTGAGTGGAATGACAAAGCAGCGTGCTCCTAAAAGCCAAGCCACACATCCCAGCAGCGCTGCTCAGCCTCAGGCACACACAGGGCTCCGGGACAACACTCAACAGTGCCATGTGGGCAGGGTGCACTACAGCAGGGCACCAGTCACCACGCAGCCACTGCTGTCTGATCTTAGAACCTTCCCCCACGCCCTGCAGCCCAGGAAGGCAGAACAGTAGAAGACCAGGAACACCTGTCCTGAATCCTTCCAGGCTCACACCAGGAAAAAGCTAAGCTTGCTTCCACTCTTGATGTGCATTTGAAACTTGTAGTGAAAAGGCATTGAACCCCAGCACGACCCTCCCAGGACTGGTCCTGGAAGACCACCCCCAGGTACTCTGAAGAAAGAGTCGCGCTGCCAGGGCGCCCCGGAGGGCACAGCGGTGGCAGGACCACTGAGCAGCGGCAGGAGACCCAGCTCACTGCCCCACACGGTGGCTCTGGACTGGAGTCCAGGCTCTGGTGCTCAGTAGCCTCAGAAGGTGCAGAGGGGCCCTGCCATCTAGGTCCCTCCCAGGACCCCTGCCTTTTAGGCCAGAGATTTGGTCCTTCTACCAAAAGCCCTACAACAGGCAGCCATACCAGGGAAGCTGGCTAAGGCCTTCTCCCTTAGGGGCTCCTGGTAACACTGCAAAGCCTCTGGTACGTGGGCTCCAGAGTAGCTGAAGTGGCTTCAGTGGTCTGACCCCACTCCATGAACATTAAGAGGGACAAGTCACTTCAGTTGGTCTGACAAACTCAGGCTGAATATTTTACCCACTAATAAGCCTAAAAATGAAAAAATCACCGGGGACCTAGAGCCTCTGGTTTGTAAAGTTACACAGGCCCTGGCAATTCTTGGAGGAATGACCGAAAGGAGTTAATAGTGTAGGAAATACTTAGATCCTAAAAAAAAAAACAAAAACAAATAGTAAAATACTTCTGTATTCCTTTCAGCTCGTGTTGTATCTGGTAGTTTCCTTCTTTTAAAACTGAGAGCTATGGTCAGCTCAGACCCAGCTGTATGAGCAGCTCTAGCGGCGTCACAGGCAGGAGAGAGGTGGCCTCACACACCGGGACGCAGGAAAAGGAAGCTGTCCACTGCAGTGCTTGATTCACTCTGGCCAAATGTAGCGTGCGTTACCTGCACATTAAAGAGCTGGAGGAAAGCAGTGGAGGACCCTGCCATCCGTGCCCCTCCCTGTGGCTAGATTCCACTAGACAGCTTTTTAGGTAAGAAGGAAGCCACACAGAAGAAAGTCAAAAGCATAATTTTTTTTAAAACAATAGACCAGCAGAGTTTTGGGTTTCCAAGAAGAGAAGCAAGCCCTAGTGAACATGGTGGGGCCCACAGACACAACCTGAGCCCCAGAGAACCCCTATCTTCTGATGTCACCGGGTAGGAGACAAACGTCAGCATGGCTGCTCACATCCAGCTGGAGTACAGAGAAGCCCCATGGGTGCCTGGTGGGAAATGGGCGCACAGAGACGCCCGGAAGCTAGCAGATTCAAGATCGCCGCTCCCCACCACCACGGCTGCTTCTCTAAGCCCAGCTCCTAGCCTTAGAAATGCAGCCTGTCACTTGGGAGCACACAGCAGTGACCCCACCTGGGTTTCCACTGGGGAGCTGGCCAGCAGCTCTTAGTTTATGTAGAAGACTGCACCCTGCAATGACCATTCAAAGATAAAACCACCTACTGGAGACAAAGGTCCAGTGTTTGGGGCTCGCCTGCCCTTTTCTTGACAAACACTTGGTGTAGGGTAATGGCCTGCTTCAGTAGCATGCTACCAGCTGAGTGGAGAGGGCGGTGTGGACCTCAAGTGGACTGTGCCTCATGGTCAGGGCTCAGATTTCTCCACCCTACACCAGTACAACCCCACCTCGCAGCAGAAGGCCACCATGCTTCTGAGGGACCATCTGACCATGGTCAGCGAGGAGAGTCCCTGGCTGGACTCACTAGTGACAGTCCTATTTCTGCTGAGGACACGGGGTCCCGGGCAACACCGGAAGCCCAAGGTAGCAACATCAAAGTGTCACCAAGGGCAGTGCCACTGGCTTTACAGCACATACCCTTCCTTACCTGCGGCAAGTGCAACTGGAGCCCTTCGCTGGGGACAGGCTGTCGAGACGGTGTTTGGTCCAAGTGCATATTGAAGATAGTGGCCAGGGCAGACTGGGCAGCCCGGGCCTTGGCGAGCTTCTTGTTTCTCCCAGAGCCTTCAAAGAACTGACCGTCCACGACCACAGACATGACGAAGCTCTTGGCGTGGCTCTCCCCGCTCTCGGAGAGGAAGTCATATTTGAGCCCTGGGCGCAGCTCATTCAAGATCATCACGGGGTTCTTCCCACTCGGGGGTGGGAACGGAGGGGGGATGGGCAGGGGGGGCTGGGCGAGGCTGGCAGGCACTGGGGACGCCGACAGGCTGAGGTCCCCGCTGGAGCTGAAAGAGTCGTCTCCGTTGGAACCCACATAGAAGGGCGGCTCCGACTTGTCCGGTGTCTCAAAGCCGTTGAAGAGCGTGTCGGGGAAGTCAGCCTGGTCAGACGTGAAGTCGGCATTCACAGTCAGGGTTCTGCCCATGGCCAGGTGGGCCTCGGAGGCATTGGGAAACTGAACAAAAGACCTCAAGGCCTTCTCGGCAGCGTGGAGTTTTGCCTTCTTCTTTGTGGGGCCAGACCCCTCAAACACCTGGCCATTCACCTCCACAGACATGACAAACAGCGGGGCGTGCACAGGCCCCGTCTGAGACAGCAGCATGTACTGTAAGCCAGGCTTGATCTCATTCAGCTGCATCAAGGCGTTCTTGGGCAGCACAGGCCCAGGAGTTTTCCTCCGCTTCTTCAGGCGGTACTTGGAGTGGCCATTGCTGCCCTCCTCCAGGGACCGCTTCCGGCTGGTGCTGCCGCCACCCCCGTTGGAGAGCTGTGTGCCCTCGCCAGGACCGGGTGCACTGCTGTCCCTGGGGGGCACGTTGTCCCGATTGCGGTTTTCCTTAACATCAGTGCTGCTGGAACCTGCGGTGCCCAGAAAGAGTAACTTACAACGCCTTCGTTGCAGGATCTTGTAAATGCAAAATTTATAGATTCCTTTATTTCTTTGTAACTGGGTAAGTGATGTGTGTGTATGCATTGCCTTGCTCATGCAAACACGAGGAACTATGTCTCAGCTCAAAGAACTCTCGGCCTCAGCTGAAATGAGTGATTTGAGGTTTGCTGCCTAAGTGCTACTCCCTCTGCTAGTTAGTACACAAACAGCTTCTGCGTGGAATACAGCCGTGTGCAAACACATACATTTTCTCTCAGCCTTCCCTATCAAGGCCAAGTGTTCCCACACTGACCACAGCATCTCTCAAAAGAGGAAGCACAATTTAAAACACACGTTCCCAAGTTTGTGTCTAAGGTTTAAAGTATCAAATCAACACACGTGATTATTTGATTTAGTTTATGAATTGGTCATGGAAACTGTCATTATGTAGAGTGTTATGACTTAAAATTTTTTTAAGAATATGGCTTTACTTTTTAGTATTGATTTGATTTTTCATTGTATTTGGGGATATTTGCCTCAGAATCTTTCACACATTTTATCATAAAACTATATATAAGAGAAAAATACAGAATTGTAGGCTACGATTTCTTAACTTCATAAATGCACCTAACTTTTTTGGCAGTAGGTGTTCTACTGCTGGTCTTTGCCTCCAGGGCCTGCATGAATTGGTGACTTGGAAGTAATTCTTGGTTTTGGTGGTAGTCGGGTTTGAACTCAAGCCATATGCCTGGGTAGCAGCATGGCAGGCCGAGGCTATGTCCACAGCCTTTCACTTATTTCTTTAGTTATTTTTCAGATAGGATCTCCTGTTGGTACTCAGGGCCAGCTTCAGTAGCATGCTACCACATCCCGCTTATTAACTGAGAAAAGGTCTTACTAACTTTCGCCCAGATGGCTTTGAACCTCAATCCTCCCTAGCTGGGATTACAGGTCTGGGCTACCCTACCAAGCTTAAAATGATTTTTTATCTTCCCTTTTAAAGATATTTCATGTTTAAAATTAATAAAGATAATTGGTAAAATAAACATCATTTTGATTTTTAAAAGGGGAAGTGAGGATGGGGATGGAATCTATACCAGTCCCAGTGCCTGGGAGGCTCAGGCAGGAGGCTCAAGGGCTCCAAGCCAGCGTGAGCTTTGGGAGACTCTACCTCAAAAACAAACAAAAACTATTTTATAAAAAAGGAAGACATGAAAGCATTTACTCCTTCCTTTAAGTTGATTGAACAGTCTGAAAAAAAAAATTCCTTTTTCATCCGTTAGGCTTACAAGCCCTTCACATAAGGCTTAGGGTATCACAATGTTGTAAATGACTCACCAGTTGCTTCCAAATATTCACAGAAATATTAAGCAAAATATTCTGTAAAATTGTGAGCATGTGGCTTTCGGGTCTATTTCTAGTGTGGGATGTACAAGCAGTTCTACTTACACTAAGTACACTGAAAACTCTGGAAGTGTTGTTTGTCGTGCAACCTACGAGAAAGGTCAATGTGGCTAAGACCCTGGGTCTTTGGTGTCTATCCGTGGGGTGAAGCACTGCGAACGTCCAAGGCCATGGCCATCCAGAGACAGCAATGATTACACTGGATGGACAAAGCCCATGGGAAACTTCTCCCTAACACACACACCACTTCTCCCAGCTGACAAAGTAGATGGAATGGACCCTAAATTTCCATTTATAACATCCTCCAGCAAAAGGCCGGTAGGTTACTCCTTTCGGTACTCCGGGAACAAAGGGTTAAAAAGATAGAGCAGAGATGGAATGGAAAGATTAGTAAACGGACTGAGAATATTACATACTAGATATTGCTTACAGAATTACCAGCATAAAAAAATCACATTGTTATAAACATACTCCGGCATGCATTACCAAACATTTATAACCTCCAAATGCTTTCCTTTCAAACATAATAACCATCAGGACTAAATTGACAAATAGTTTTAAGAGTAGAAGAAAACATGCTTCCTATAACATTTCACACTAATTCTCAGTTCTTATTCATTTCAGAAGTACCATGTTACTGTTCATATTCTGTTTATTCAAAATGCTGCTAAGAAAAAGAAAATACTAAAACAAGGAACAGAGAGCCCTCTCACAGCTCTTTGGAGATACGTTTTCTCTCTGCACATCAGAAATGTGAAGTGAATCATAAAACTTTTTGCTGATTTCAAAATGATCGAAAGTGCAGGGCTGACAGACCCAGCAGCCAGTCCTTCTGTGACAATTGTTCTGGCAGGTTACCTTCCTAATGGCTGAGCTGCCAGGGGCTCGGAGAAGATGGCTGCAGCTGCAGGTGACAGACCTAGCCTGGGCAGGTGGCCTTGGGGACACCTGCGGCACCCTCAGGGGGGTCACTGGGCTGGCATACTGCAGTGTGTGATCGAGCCCACCCCCAGACCTCCTCGGCACCACAGCACCCCCCCTCCCCCGGCAGGCCTCTCAGGTGCCACTGGCCTCTGGGTATCGATCAGATAAAACAGGGCCAGCTGTGTGTGAAGTCATGGGTTCCAGTGGGACACGGGCGGGCGTGTTCTTCCTGAGACACACGCCTATGTTAGCTAGAAAAGCAGTCTTCTGTGCCACTTCCCTGGCATGCGTGCTGCTGTCTGGGGCACTTGTGACCTGACTTATACACGTGCTCCCCGGACTGACGGTTAGCAGATGAGAAGGTAGCTCAGCGGGCTCCTCACAATATCAAGGGAGAACGTCCATGCTCAAGGCCCTGCATCCCGGCAGCCCCAGGGAGGGGGTGTGTAGGAGGGGAGAGGCCCAGAGTGCATGTTGGCCCACACTAGCCCGCAGTGTCATTCCAGTTTTTTAAGCTGAAGACCCTGTGCGCACCCTTCCCTCCAAATGCAGGAATCGCCACTGTCTTTGCAGGGTGCCTTGTATGTCCCATCGCCCCAAACTGTACGTCCGCTGGGTCAGTCTCCAAGGCTTTCTTCATTTTGCATGACACGTTCAGAGTGTCACTCTAGCACCACGCTGTGACAGGGCTTCGCATGCAGCTCTGTGAGGCACCTAGAGGTGTATTTCTGGAATAAAAATGGTGGCCCCATGACGACAACGAGGAATGAAAAATCTAGACAGGTGGCTGTAGGGAAAACGTCCACAGTAAATAGTCATGCCTACTAGAAAACATACATGCGTCTGCCAACAGCCCATATCTCAGGAAATATCACACTGGTCTCATTAGTCAAACTTACAAAACGCTAAGAATTTAATGGGAAATTAGCTACGTGATAGGCCTAGATCTTACTCATGTTCTCTTCATCGTCTACGTCCATGGCAAAGTACTTCTGAGGACTTGACTGGCGGAGGCTGCTTCTGTCTGAAAGACAACAAGAGGACACTTACTGTGACTACCATGAGGGCATCTAGTCTGTGGAACAATCTCAGAATCACTGCAAATTAAAGGCAAAGATCATAAAACAGGAACAGCAGTCTGCCAATGGGATGGGACCCTCTCTTCCCAGCAAGGGCTCTTGCCTCAACTGTTGCATAGAGGATGGTGGTTGATTTGCAAAGAGTCACAACAAAGGAGGACGGAGGCCAATGCCAAGGACTCCACTCAGCTCCAGGGAGCGGAAGGGCCTCAGAGGGTCTGAGCTAGGGGTAGGTGGCAATCCTCCCCTGCCAGGTGGCCCAAAGCTCACCAGCCAGCCCAACAGCCCACCAGAGAACACAACAGTATTCAAACCTTATGCCATCTGGTCTTAGTCCTGAGTACTCACAAGAAGAACAAGCCTCCTCAGTATCTCACCTGACACTGTGCCCCTGAAAGGATCATACAGGTAAGGCTGCGACACGTGTAGTTATCAAAGCCTAACCCAATGTCTGAGCCAGGCACAACTTACCTTCTGCTTGGCTAGAGAAAATCCAGGAAATAGCCAAAGAATGACTACCTAATTATTAATAAATTCAAGGGTTTCCTCTTCCTGAATATCCCTCTTCATAAATACTTCTTTTCCTAAATACTTTGCAATACTGTACTAACAGAGTCTATAATGACAGTAGAAGAAAAAGAAGATTTTAAAGCCAATATTGCTTTGTGAACAAAATATTGTATTGTAAATATAAAAAAGGTAATTTCATGGCTTCTAGGAACTGGTTACTAAATCTATGTCTCATACATATTTCATCTGGCACACAAGCAGAATATCCATAGTTTTCACAACAGTCATTTGGCTAGCTTATCTGTCTGTTAATGTAACCTCAGAATATATCTGTCAAATGTATTAGTAAAAGGTTAAAAGAGTTGGGCATTGGTGGCTTACCCCTGAAATCCTAGATACTCCTAGCTGAGAGCTGAGCATTGTGGTCTGAAGCCAGTCCAGACAGGAAACTCCATGAGACTCTTATCTTCAATTAAACACCCAAAAAGCAGGCAGGGGGCGGGGAAGGAGAGGGGATGGGAGGCTCAAGTAGCAGATAACTAGCCTTAAACAAACGAAACCCTCATGGATAGCACCCAGGCCCTGAGTTCAAGCCCTAAAACCAGGAAAGAAAGAAAGAGAGAGAGAGAGAAGGGAGAGAGAGAGAGGGAGGGAGGGAAGGAAGGAAGGAAGGAAAGAAGGAAGGAAGGAACAAAGAAAGGAAGGAAGGAAGAAGGAAAGAAAGAAAGAAAGAAAGAAAGAAAGAAAGAAAGAAAGAAAGAAAGAAAGAAAGAAAGAAAGAGAAAGAAAGAAAGAAAGAGGAAGATCTCAACCAGGGAAGAAAAGGGCCACAGAAGTGATGTGAATCCACTAACTAGAACAGTGAACAGGAGGAAAGTCTAGTGGTCTCAACACTCCCAATCAGATAGTCAGAAAGAGCATGTTTTGACTAAGGATACACAAGCACAACACATGGAACAGAGGAGAGCCCAGTACAGAACTGCACGGACCTGCTTGGCAACTACTTCACAGAGTTTTGAGAAGAATCAGAGACAGCACAGCCCTGCACGGAGGTGAAGAACAACCAGAGACAGCCCTGCACGGAGGTGGGGAACAACCAGACACAGCACAGCCCTGCACGGAGGTGGAGAACAACCAGAGACAGCACAGCCCTGCACGGAGGTGGGGAACAACCAGAGACAGCCCTGCACGGAGGTGGAGAACAACCAGAGACAGCACAGCCCTGCACGGAGGTGGAGAACAACCAGAGACAGCACAGCCCTGCACGGAAGTGGAGAACAACCAGAGACAGCCCTGCACGGAGGTGGAGAACAACCAGAGACAGCACAGCCCTGCACGGAGGTGGAGAACAACCAGACACAGCACAGCCCTGCACGGAGGTGGAGAACAACCAGAGACAGCACAGCCCTGCACGGAGGTGGAGAACAACCAGAGACAGCACAGCCCTGCACGGAGGTGGAGAACAACCAGACACAGCACAGCCCTGCACGGAGGTGGAGAACAACCAGAGACAGCACAGCCCTGCACGGAGGTGGAGAACAACCAGAGACAGCACAGCCCTGCACGGAGGTGGAGAACAACCAGAGACAGCACAGCCCTGCACGGAGGTGGAGAACACCCAGAGACAGCCCTGCACGGAGGTGGAGAACAACCAGAGACAGCACAGCCCTGCACGGAGGTGGAGAACAACCAGAGACAGCACAGCCTGCACGGAGGTGGAGAACAACCAGAGACAGCCCTGCACGGAGGTGGAGAACAACCAGAGACAGCCCTGCACGGAGGTGGAGAACAACCAGAGACAGCACAGCCCTGCACAGAGGTGGAGAACAACCAGAGACAGCACAGCCCTGCACGGAGGTGGAGAACAACCAGAGACAGCCCTGCACGGAGGTGGAGAACAACCAGAGACAGCCCTGCACGGAGGTGGAGAACAACCAGAGACAGCACAGCCCTGCACGGAGGTGGAGAACAACCAGAGACAGCCCTGCACGGAGGTGGAGAACAACCAGACACAGCACAGCCCTGCACGGAGGTGGAGAACAACCAGAGACAGCCCTGCACGGAGGTGGAGAACAACCAGAGACAGCACAGCCCTGCACGGAGGTGGAGAACAACCAGACACAGCACAGCCCTGCACGGAGGTGGAGAACAACCACAGACAGCCCTGCACGGAGGTGAAGAACACCCAGAGACAGCACAGCCCTGCACGGAGGTGGAGAACAACCAGACACAGCACAGCCCTGCACGGAGGTGGGGAACAACCAGACACAGCACAGCCCTGCACGGAGGTGGAGAACAACCAGAGACAGCCCTGCCCTGTACGGAGGTGGAGAACAACCAGAGACAGCCCTGCACGGAGGTGGAGAACAACCAGAGACAGCCCTGCACGGAGGTGGAGAACAACCAGAGACAGCACAGCCCTGCATGGAGGTGGAGAACAACCAGAGACAGCACAGCCCTGCACGGAGGTGGAGAACAACCAGAGACAGCCCTGCACGGAGGTGGAGAACAACCAGAGACAGCACAGCCCTGCACGGAGGTGGAGAACAACCAGGGACAGCCCTGCACGGCGGTGGAGAACAACCAGAGACAGCACAGCCCTGCACGGAGGTGGAGAACAACCAGAGACAGCACAGCCCTGCACGGAGGTGGAGAACAACCAGAGACAGCACAGCCCTGCACGGAGGTGGAGAACAACCAGAGACAGGACAGCCCTGCACGGAGGTGGAGAACAACCAGGGACAGCCCTGCACGGCGGTGGAGAACAACCAGAGACAGCACAGCCCTGCACGGAGGTGGAGAACAACCAGAGACAGCACAGCCCTGCACGGAGGTGGAGAACAACCAGAGACAGCCCTGCACGGAGGTGGAGAACAACCAGAGACAGCCCTGCACGGAGGTGGAGAACAACCAGAGACAGCACAGCCCTGCACGGAGGTGGAGAACAACCAGAGACAGCACAGCCCTGCACGGAGGTGGAGAACAACCAGAGACAGCCCTGCACGGAGGTGGAGAACAACCAGAGACAGCACAGCCCTGCACGGAGGTGGAGAACAACCAGAGACAGCACAGCCCTGCACGGAGGTGGAGAACAACCAGAGACAGCCCTGCACGGAGGTGGAGAACAACCAGACACAGCAGAGCCCTGCACGGAGGTGGAGAACAACCAGAGACAGCACAGCCCTGCACGGAGGTGGAGAACAACCAGAGACAGCCCTGCACGGAGGTGGAGAACAACCAGACACAGCACAGCCCTGCACGGAGGTGAAGAACAACCAGAGACAGCACAGCCCTGCACGGAGGTGGAGAACAACCAGAGACAGCACAGCCCTGCACGGAGGTGGAGAACAACCAGAGACAGCACAGCCCTGCACAGAGGTGGAGAACAACCAGAGACAGCCCTGCACGGAGGTGGAGAACAACCAGAGACAGCACAGCCCTGCACGGAGGTGGAGAACAACCAGAGACAGCCCTGCACGGAGGTGGAGAACAACCAGAGACAGCACAGCCCTGCACGGAGGTGGAGAACAACCAGAGACAGCACAGCCCTGGACGGAGGTGGAGAACAACCAGAGACAGCACAGCCTGCACGGAGGTGGAGAACAACCAGAGACAGCCCTGCACGGAGGTGGAGAACAACCAGAGACAGCCCTGCACGGAGATGGAGAACAACCAGACACAGCAGAGCCCTGCACGGAGGTGGAGAACAACCAGAGACAGCACAGCCCTGCACAGAGGTGGAGAACAACCAGAGACAGCCCTGCACGGAGGTGGAGAACAACCAGAGACAGCACAGCCCTGCACGGAGGTGGAGAACAACCAGAGACAGCCCTGCACGGAGGTGGAGAACAACCAGAGACAGCACAGCCCTGCACGGAGGTGGAGAACAACCAGAGACAGCACAGCCCTGCACGGAGGTGGAGAACAACCAGAGACAGCACAGCCTGCACGGAGGTGGAGAACAACCAGAGACAGCCCTGCACGGAGGTGGAGAACAACCAGAGACAGCACAGCCCTGCACGGAGGTGGAGAACAACCAGAGACAGCACAGCCCTGCACGGAGGTGGAGAACAACCAGAGACAGCACAGCCTGCACGGAGGTGGAGAACAACCAGAGACAGCCCTGCACGGAGGTGGAGAACAACCAGAGACAGCACAGCCCTGCACGGAGGTGGAGAACAACCAGAGACAGCACAGCCCTGCACAGAGGTGGAGAACAACCAGAGACAGCCCTGCACGGAGGTGGAGAACAACCAGAGACAGCACAGCCCTGCACGGAGGTGGAGAACAACCAGAGACAGCCCTGCACGGAGGTGGAGAACAACCAGAGACAGCACAGCCCTGCACGGAGGTGGAGAACAACCAGAGACAGCACAGCCCTGCACGGAGGTGGAGAACAACCAGAGACAGCACAGCCTGCACGGAGGTGGAGAAC